CGATCCGTCGGCCATCAAATGACGAACATTCAGCATACGCTTGTAGAACGTTCTGAGTGGTAGTCTCAAGGAAATCGTTGAACGATCTTGACCAGAGCTGGCCTTTGAACGTAAGCCGTTATTTTGGACTTCATGTAAACTGTTTCGTCAAGTATCCACCTTCATTATTATGCCATGAAAAAAATATTGTCGGTTGTTTCAACCTACGGAAGTTTTGACTGTCCGTTTCTTTCAAGTTGAAAGTTTTGCGCAGTTTTCGTACATACTTGTAAGCTGTTTAACAATTTCATTGGTCTCGAAACGAGCACTAAATAAAAATTACTGGTCAGCATAAACTTGGTAGAAAAAACTACGTGGTAGTAAACATAGGAGGTAAGAAAGTATTTTTCGTTTGAGGCTAGAAGAACTTTGCGTTCGTGAATAGTACCTGCTGTAATACTGTGAGGTCGTAGCTTGTCCAAAGGCTTCTCAGACCCATAGGAAGAGTAAAACAAGGCAAATATGTCTTGTAGAGCCTCAAAGGTGCCCCGCCCCGTTGAGGGGGCACAGGTGTCTTGTTCGAATTGCCTTCGTCTTATCCGCCCGCTGAAAAACGGGTAGTAGCTAGATAACCTGCGAAAAGTAAGGCAACATGGCATATTGGTCCGATGCTGGTACTCCTGTGGCTGAACGATTAAACTGAAAAGTACATTCAAACCTGTATTCAGTCCTGACGCATGAACGATGCAGATTTTGCAGATTCTCTGTAAAGATAGGGCGATTACTTTTTATTACTATTGTTCATCCTCATCTTGTCGTTTTCCTTTCTTCTCTCTCTTGTTCCTCTTTCATGTCTTACCCCTAAGATGTTATCAGCGTGGTAATCACAGCTTCAGCATCTGCTGTGATCTCGACCCATGGATAAACAAATGAGTTATAACTTCAGCATTTTACTTTTTTAAATCTTAACTGAGGATGATTTGGTAATACATTGCGATCAGATTTCTTAGCTACCTGTTATAATCGAATTGCTGATGCTTCTTGCAGGTTCTCTTCATCTTCCATGTGCCTTTCTCACACTGCTAGACCACTTTTATTTAGTCCTCATCCAACACGTTCTTAGCGCCTTTCACTGGTGATTGACTTCGTGCCATTCTTTTCACTTGTTCATGCCACTGTCTTGGCGTGTCAACGTATTTCGCTTCTGTCAATTAAGCTGTTTCATGCACAATACACTTTTGATAGCATCTTTATCGATTGTCCAAATCAGTGTGCACGTGTCCATCTTGTAATTTTCAAGCAGGGTCTGCATTTTCATCACCAAAAGCAGATTCTTCTAGATTTTTGCATCTGCCCCGTTTACGTTATAGTGTATTTCATTACAATGCTTGAAGATGATTGACATCATAAGGCTGCTAAACTAAAATGCCATATGAAAGCTACGATAAATTTGACTGACAACAGATGCTCTTCGCTTTTCTAAACTCCGTCACTTCTGAGTCACAGATAATTGCTGGAGAGAATAGAATCAAGCGGCAGCATCATTATGTTGAAAATCTTGCACACCTGCCCCGTTATTACAAGACATGGTTTTAAACGACTTTAGACATTGCGCGAGAATTCTTTACTATTTTTTGATGTTAGTCCCTCCTCCCAAGAAACGTAAATTCTGAAACTTGATTCAGCTGTTCTCCCTGCACGGAAATTTCTTTACCACTTATTCATACCTTGCTTGTAGCCACGATTGTTTATAAGTGAAAGAATTGGCTTGTTCAAGTTTTCCGGGTAAACTGCAGTAATGCTATGTTACACTTAAGAGTTGGCATGAACGAACGAGTGTTTGTTCATCCCAGTTATGTATGTGTACCTCATGCACAGTATTTGCTCAAGCTGAGGGGAGGTGTTGCCTACATAACTGGTCTCATTACCCGCCCCGAAACAAAGAGGAAGAGAAACGCTGCCGTATATTCGATTGGAAAAATTTCCACCGATCTTTCTGTTTTACACCATTTGAATTTTTTAAATCATCGAGTGTTCATGTGACGTTGAATAACGTATAACCCTTGCAAGTTCAGATTTCGCGGCGCATTGCGCCATCTCCTTACTCCTCGCTGTCTTGCGAATAGTAGAGGGGGTAAGCAGGCTCCTTTGACATTTGAGCATCTGCAGTGCCAGACGCATTTCGCCTTATTTTTTTCCCGCTAGAGTCATCTTGCGCTAATTACAAACGATGCCTCAGGAGCTT